TCAGGGAAATCTAGATGCACAACTGGAGAGCTGCTAATTCAGCTGATGCTTCTTCCTCAGTACCTTATAAGTAGATTCCAGTGTCAAATATAACCTTGAGCATTCAGGTTAATTCATTTAAATAGACATTAAAGAGGAAATGTTTAGTGAATACATAAAGTCTGAGATCCCAAACAGTTCCTCATTCTTTCCCTCTCCTTTCATCACCTTGAATGTTATAAGGACTAATAATTTAATTTTATTAAGAGCTTTGAAGGTGAGGAGTGTTGGGTAATTACTAAATATGTTTCTTCCTTGTGCTAATTTCCAGCTCCTTTAGCACCAGTCTGTCCTTGTATGACCCTAGCCAAGTGCAGCTATGTCATTCCATTCAATTATGTGGCCTAGCTGGTCCAAAAAAAGTGTTATTTTGAAACACCCAGAGCTTATCAATTTGGAGAGCCTTCTCACCACTGCAAGACTTAGAGATGTGGACTCTTACAAGCAAAGCTTGCCTGCTTGCTGCTCCTATTCACTTGTACCATTGGTTTTCATGCTAATATGGAAACAATGTGATTTTAGAGCAGATTCAGATGAGAGTAAAGCTAGTAGAGGATAGTTAACAAGATGGGGGAGGGAGAGAGAAGAATAAGACAGAGGCTGTTATACACCAGCCCAGCAAAATTCCATAACAGGTGCTTCCCATCTAGCCATGCAGTTTCTGTAATGCCCAGTTAGTCATCTAGCAGCTCAGGCTCTGAGGGACATAGCCGTAGGGGTCAAGATATTATCATTCCCAGCTGTCTGCTTCATCTTCCTGCTGGAGACCATCTCCCAAAGCACAGGAGGCTGAACAGACGCGTGGGACATAATGGCAGCCCCAGCTTACAGCCCTGTCACTTGGTGCACACGCATGTTCAGCGGGAGCGGGAGCTGGTGGCCCCACAACTGCAGTAGCTGAGGCACGAAAGTGTGTTCCCATCTGTTGTCCCTGTTACTGGGGTAATAATCTCCATCAAAGGTACAAGGCTTGCAGCCAGGAGGGTCACATAGATATACCGCTGTAAATATGTCTGAGCTAATTTACCTATGAACCTTCTGCCAAGAATAAGAGCAGGAAAAGAAACTCTAGGAAGAAAAGGTGAGGAACTTATCTGAGCTTCTAGGCTGTACTACGCATGTCTGCTCAGTCTTCTAGAAAAACCCAGACAAATTCATCATTGTGAGCACCTTGCAAGAGTAAGCCAGGCTGAAATCTTGCACTATGATGCCACTACAGGTCGTATGTGAGGAAAACCATATCAAGCCAATATAGCAATAAATCTCCGCTAGGGTACTTGGGTAAGGGTGAAATGGGAGGTGGGATGCATGGTGTCAGCTGGCATTATGCCACATAAGATGTGAGCAGTGGCCAGGTACATCCCAAATTTACCTCTCACAAAGCAGGATTGTACTACAGAAACCAGTCTTCAGCGAGAGATATACATTCAGTGCTAGATACAGTTGAGAGCTCAACATTAGCCACAGCATCAAGTTCAAATAACAGGTTTAAGATCTTACGTGCATTGATTGTTTACAAAAGCCAAAAACTTGCCTCTTTCTCAGAGCAGATGCCTGAGAGATTTAGAACTGTCTAGAGAATCTCTTCAGTCAAAATCCTGCTCCCAGGCACCTTCACGTTAGCTGCAAATGTTGCAGCCCAAGCCCTTCTTGCATAGATACAGAGACACAAAAAATGCCCTTCCCCCCCCACCATAAGCAGATTTTCACCGATAAAACTTCAACGTATTTGCAAAGTTTCCAACAACATTTTAAGTGTTGGTAATATATCAAAGCTGAACTGGAAAAGCAAAACTCTGCAACCAGTTGAAGAGTTTCTAGCTTTAATTATGGAAGAAGGAGCAGATTGAAGGGAGTGGGTGGAGGGAAGTCTGGGAACGTACAGTACTGTGCACTACGAAATGTTGTAGGGAAGTGGAAGGCTGAAAGGCAGCCCCACGTATTTTAGAGATTTAACAGTAAATGTTATTGCTCTGCACATGTGAAAGACATAACATGTATTTTTTTCAGTCTAACCAGCTCACTTCAGATTGAGGCAAACAAGGAAGAATAAGTATTAAACCTCCATAAGAGACACACAGACTCACAGTTGTGCATCTGAGATGAAACACAAAAATGGCAATTTCTTCAAGTTGCCTTTACCACACGAGGGACTCCTCAACATTTAAAGAAAGAGGGGCATGGCACACTACCTTAGTTCATAGCGCACAGCTCAATTTACAGACACCTTCACTTATCAAATGGCTAAAAATCACTGTTTTCTTCGATTTCCTTTTAGCAGCAACCTTTCTACCTACATGTTTTGGAATCCGGACTCCCTGGCACCATAGCTTTAGCAATGCAGCCATCCTTTCAATTGATTTCAGC